TGCACCTAAAACTGTCACAGCTATCAGAAAACCATAAAGGGAGCCAGCCCGAGGACAGAGCCGACATCTACAGAACGGAGCTTAGAGATGGAAAGACCGTAGGTTCCGGATGAGACACTGTTGAGACACTGACCATACTGACATGGAGCCTGCCTTATTCTGGATTTCTTGTTTCGTAAGAGGTATGTTTCCTCATTGCTATGGTCTGTTTGTCCCTCCAAAGCTCATGTGGACGGCTGATCTCCAATGTGGCAGTGTTGAGAGGTGGGGCCTTTGGGAGATGACTGGAGAGCTGAGGGCTATGCCCTCATGAATGGATTAATCCATTCAAGGATTAATGGGTTAACAGATGAGTGGATTATTGTGGGAGTGGCACTGGTGGCTTTATAAGGCAAATGAGCATGTTAACATACTCTTGCCCTGTTACCACATGATATCCTCTGCTGCCTTGTGACTCTGCTGAGAAGTCCCACCAAGAAGGTGACCCTCACCAGATGTGCCTCCTGGACCTTGGACTTCCCAGCCTCCAAAAACTGTAAGAGACAAATTGTGTTTCTTTATAAATTACCCAGTTTCAGGTGTTCTGTTATCAGTGACAGGAAATGTACCAATACACTCATTACTTATGCCAATTTGATTCAGATTCAAACAGATCTAACCTGTAGGGTGGAGGTGGGCAAACTTTTGCTGTAAAGACCCAAACAGTAAATATTTTAGGCTTTGCAGGCCATAAGGTCTTTGTCACAGCTACTCAACTTTGCCTGAAAGCTGTCAAGATAATCAGAAACGGACGAACATGGCTGTGTTCCAATACAACTTTATGGATACTGAAATTTGAACTTCACATAATTTATACATGTTCCTATAAATTCCGCTTTTGACTTTTTTCCAATCGTGAAAATATGTACAAACCATCTGTAGCTTGCAGGCTGTATAAAAACAGATCATGGGCTAGTGCTGGCTCACAGGCTGTGGTAGTCTGCTAATCCCTGTCGTAGAAGAAGTGTCTGAACTGACAAGACTATGATGTTAAATGGTGGTAATGCTTAGACTTTTGGAACAACATTAACAAAAGAGTACATATATCAACAACCAATTCATTAAATTTGTCTGCCTTCATTATACAGGGTTTACTGGAATAGCTCATTACATCTCTCACTATCCAAAATTCTAGTTTTGGCAGTTTACTAACAAGCTAGGTGGCCTTGGCAAAGTCACTTAATTTCTGGATCTCTTTAACAACTCAACCATCATATGGGGAAAAGCATGAAAATTTTGGCCTAAAAAGCCGGCTCCAGGGACATCTAGAGATGCTCTTTGGACCCCTGACGGTAGTATGGTTTCAGGGTTAAACCAGGGCTGAGGTGGTGGTATAGATGCTCAATAAAGTTATTAACTTACCTGGGAGAGAGAATAAATCAGAACCAGAGGAAGTAATAATAAATTATAAAAAGCACTGGACTAAGAAGTCAGGGTCTAATCTGAGTTCTCCATAATAATCTTTGACAAGTCACGTTTCTAATGGGGGCCTGATTCCTTGTTTGTAAAAATGAGAAGATTGGATTTGATGGTGTCTAATATGCCAGTTTTAACACCGCATGGGTTTTTCAATGCATGCCCCTACAAATGCAATGTCTGGGGTCAAGAAAGGTCAGAACCACCTCCCCCCTTCCCTGAAACCCTCTATGACCACGTCGCCTCTATGGTACAGACAGACTTTCGTGTTCACCTGAATCACCTGGGCACCTCACAAACTCCTCGGTGATGCTGCTGCTGCTCTTTGAGTAGCAAAGTAATAGACCGCTACAGTCCTGTTTGAAAGCCACACTGTAGAACCCCTGAGGAAAGTGAAAATGGCCAGGGAGCTAAGCCTTTCTGCAGAGGAGGTCACTGAAACAGCAGCTCATCGCCTCCTGTACACCTTTCACAACTTCTGTGGTACCCTGATGCCGCCACGGCACCCATTTGTTAAGAGTCAGAAGGCTGGGAAGCCTTCCAAGTGCGATTTAATTCTCTAGACCTTATTTTACAATCTTTCCGATTTCTTTCCCCCATTTTCTTTTTATGGTCCTTTCATTTTCATCTAGTTTTGATCTTCTGCTTGGGACTCAGGAATTGAGATGGCAAATAAATGCCTTTGTGATATGTCAGCAGAATAAAAGCTTAAGATAAAAGAGATGAATTACTCATTTATAGGAGCCAGAAAAAAAATCTGGGCTGGCAACTAAAATTTAGTAAAAGAGAAATCTTAGTGGCTAAGAAGAAGTCTCCTGGCATTTATTTTTTTTAATTAAAAATCTTAGGTTGTAATAAAATTAATTAGAATAAGAAGAGACAATTATTTGTACTCATTCTCTACAAATGAATAAAATTACCATTTTTAATGAATAAAAATGAGTAAAGCAATGAATAAAGCAATGAATGAATGAATGAGTAAGGCAATAAATAGAATTACCATTTAAAATTGTGCTTATATAAAGTTACCAACTCTGGATAGGTCATTCATACAAGAGAAAGAAATACAATACCATATTTTATATAACACAAATAATCAGAAAAAAATGAGTCAAGATTTCATAGTGGGACAGAAAGTAAATGTTACTTATTTGAAGAACTTTTAGGATAAAATTTAATTTACCTCTGATAAAGCTGAAGAAAAGTGATTGCAGTTTTTATGCATCAAATGATAGGCATTGCCCTTGTATTCTTTCCCCAGTTCTTCTACAATTTTTTCTACATCATCTTCTAGGAAGTCAGTACTCCCTAAAACAACAGCTTCTCTTAAAGAACAAAAAGAAAGAAAAAAAGGACATAGCTGTGTGAGTTTCAGGTATTTATAAAAAGAATGTTTAAAGACTTGCTTATTTCCAGGAATATTATGAACAAATCAGGGTTAATATAAAAGGACTATAAGGTAAATGAGAATTTTAAAATCTCAATTATTTTAGTTTCTACTTTTCTGCAACAAACTCTTAAGTATACTCTTATGTATAGTCAGATACTTCTCCATAATACAAATGTATGATAAGTTGTTTTCTTTATGAAACAATATATATGATCATATAAAAAACATAATCATCACAGTTATTCTCACAACTATTGTGTTAGTAGTTATATCATTAGAGAACTGGATCCATGCTGCAAATATTCCTCCTTAATTATACTTGCCAAACGGATGGCCTAATCCCACTTAGACATAAACTTTTCAGTTAATTTGCCACTGTGCTGTGGGGAGATGAGCTGTCAAACTTGATTAAATTACTAAAAAAAGTATTATCAAAAAACCCCAAACAAAAACACCCAACCAAAAACTACTGCCTTGGAAATACAATAGACAATAATCAAGAGAATGTGGAAGTTTAGTCAGATACACATTGGGCATCCAAGAAAGCTAAAAATACTTAGGAAACCCTTTCATTGAGTAGTCTTGTCAAAAGGGAGGCCAAATCAATGGATTCAGAATTGCATTATAGCACTCCTGTGTGTAAACACTTCAATTCAGGGACAGGCTAAGAGAACCATAAACTCAGTAGTGCTAAAAATGTGTAGCCCTATATGGAATTTCAAATTATAACCTCATTTCACTATTCTTCACTTGGCAAGTTATCTATTACAGGCCCAGAAGTTTCTTTATAGCTCCTTGAAACTAACATTCTAAATATCACTTTAAATACAAACTTTAATTAAGGAAGGAACTGATTATTAACATTCAAATTTTCACTGTTATTTTCTACTCAGAAGGCTCCAGAGAACTCACACCCACATATTTTAGGTTTACCAGTACACGTAGCACATGTACCTTGATAACAGTTTCCAGGCTAACCAACGGTTTAGTTATTTCAAATTTATAAACAGTCTCTCTTTCATTGGGAAAATGAAGAGATTTTTAATAGCTGTAGGTGGGTCACAATAAAACTTTCTTCCTTCTCATCTCAGATAGGAGACTGGGGGGAAGAAATCATTATATAGGAAAGTTTTCTAAGGCAGACCTTTGACAAAGGTGAAAAAAATATTTGAAAAGTAGACAATAACTTATATGGTAAAAGTAATAGAAGCCTATTTCAGACACTTTATTTGGCTGAATCCCATCTTGATACAACAACTCAAATAGATTTGATTTTAAAATAAAGTGTCAGCAACTAAAAGTTAAAGAAACATTTTAACTTTGTAGATTGTAATCTACCAAATGAATTCTTTATGCCTGAAAACAAATTTTGGCACCTAAGATAGTGTAATAAAAATTATCCTCCCTACTTACTTAAATTTAAATGTTTCTCCTAGTTCAGAAGCATTTCCTGGGGAAATTTCAAATATTCCAGAAAAAGGGTAAGGATGGCCACCATAAGCAAATTCTGAAAAGAGAAAACTCATGATTTTTAGTACTTATCACACAAAATTTAACCAGAACGCTGCATTACCTTTAATAAATGATGAGGATCATAATGACACCACCTAAATGTTCTCCAGTTTATAAAATGCTCTCGCAAACATGTCATTTAGCTATTACTAGTACAGAACAGCTGTCACAAAAGACCTGAAACTGGAGTAATGGAAGAAAGACACTCAGAGGGAATCCTGACTGCCATATTCACTTTGTTTATATCGGCAGAGACTAATGCTCAAAGGTGAGTACAGTCTCCCGGCACATCTACGTGCCAAACTAAGCAGGGGGGCAGTTCAGTGTTTTGCCATTTTCTAAATTAAAGTGATCTAATTTCAAACTCATACTTGACTGGAGCAACTGTCCAATAACAGTGAGTGTTCATGGCTCCTGGAATGGAGACTCTTGGTTTATCTTTGAGTGAGGGTGCAACATTACTAAACTTGAAACACTAAATTCAATTCCTCTCATTCGAGAAAAAATTAGCTGCTAAATGAACACATACACCCACCTGCACACAGATACACACACTCTCCACAGCAAATCTTTCACCAGGAGGGAACCTATTTGTACTACAGTGAATGTACGTCCAGCTCATCAGATACAAACTCTCACCCAGAACAAGAAATGGCTTCAAATAAAAAATTCCTGGCTACAATTCTCATATCTCACTTAGTCTTAGTGGACATATTTAAAGGATTCCAAACAAATGATATAATCTTAAAAGGTCTTAGAACAAAGCACGGGAATCAGTAAGGCAGATACCAAGTTTACTTTTAATTCAGACCTTTTAGGAAAAAGCAACATGTATTCAAGAAATAAAGTGTTCGCCATTCAATTTTGAAAGGTAATTTTTTTTTAATGACAGCACTTTGTAAAATTTTGTAGGTAATCAGGCTGGACAGGAAGAGACTATATTTAGATTTTTTGCTTTATTATAGTAATGGAAGTCATAGATCCATTAATTCTTTTATTCAAGAAGCTATCATTCACTTTCAGGAATATATTTGGTCCTAGCTTTGCTAAATCTACAAGAACATGTTGTCAATCATGTTTCTAGTTACTACTAAATCGTTTTGTGAAGGTGAGCAGTAATTAGGCAGGTAACAAAGCAGTGGACTAGCGTGTAAGACACTTGGGCAGAAGTCCTAGTTATGTTCGTTATTAGCAGTATGACTTCCCGCAGGTTTTAGCCTCAGTTCTTCAATTGAAAAATGGAGAAAATGCCTCACGACCTTAGCATGGTCATGTGGTTCAAAACTTGACAGCACTTTAAAAACTGCAACACATCATGTAAATTTAGGTTAAAAAAGAATACACACACAACTCTGGCAAAAGCCAAATCGACCGAGAGAGCAAACCCACAGACCACGATCCCATGCACAGCAGTACTCCAACCAATAAAGCTTTCGGCAAGAGTCCCTCACTGTTTCTTGGGATTATTTGGTAGATGCAGCCTGTCAAGTAAAATGGAGCATAAATGGCAGATCTTTATAGCCAGCATGTAATATGCTAAATGGCATCTAGAAGCAGCTAATGTGGAATATAAAAAAAGGGACAGTTTAAACAACATTTAAGTAAATGGGTCTTTTCTTTATAGTAGCTAAAATTGATGTGTAGTCTGCAGGGGTATTAGCTGAAGCAAATACAGGCATTTGTGCTGTAGCATGAGTTTATGATTCAAAATGATATACAGGCTGAGTATCTTTTATCTAAAATGCTTGGGACCAGAAGTGTTTTGATTTTGGACTTATTTGGATTTTGGAATATTTGCATATACATATGAGATCTCTCTAAGGGATGGGACCCAAATCTAAACAAGAAATTCATTTACGTTTCATATACACCTCATGCGCATAGCCTGAAGGTAATTTTACACATTATTTCTAATAATTTTGTACATGAAACAAACTGTAAACTGAACTATCAGAAAGCAAAGGTGTCATTATCTCAGCCATCCATATATGGGCATCACCATCATTACTGACTCTGAATTTATATGCTACTAATAAGCAATCATTTTCCTACCCTTATTCACACATAAGTACTTAATAGTAAAAAATATGACATACCATTAATACAGTGAAAAAATGTGTTCAGATCATTAAGCAGTACATAGCAGCATCACCAGCACACTTGTAAAAGCTGTTGAACAACAGCAAACTGTTGTGTGCCTGTGCTTTGACTGTGACCTGTCACATGAGGTCAGGTGTGGAATTTTCCAACTTGTAGCATCCCGTTGACACTCAAAAAGTTTTCGATTTTGGAGCATTTCAAATTTTGGATTTTTGCTTTAGGGATGACCAATCTGTACTATCACAACCCTGATGAAATCTGTAATGTGACCTGTCTGACGCAGACCATTGCTAGTTACAACTTGATCAGGAGGAGATTATCTTGAACAAAAAGGGAAAATTAGAACAAAGGAAAAAATTGTAGAAAACACAGGTACTAGGTGTCTGAGAGGCTCCTGACGTGTACATCATAATAGAGAGCAATAAAGGTAACAAGAATGAAAAGGGCTGAGCTAATGTAAAAGGCCGTCCCTCCTGAGCAAAAAGCTAGAGGTGATCAAAGGCAGGATTTGCTCCGCAACGTTTTTAGGCTTTATAGATATATACTTATAGGTCTACAAAAACAAACGTATTACTGAAATTCCCTCAGGAAACTGGCATTTCAAGTTTGACCCTCTCTAGCACTAACCCTTTTCCAGTCAAAGTCATTGTTATCATCATGCTATTTTTCAAAGTGCGAGACGTCTTAGGAACTCAAATATACAACAGAGCAAAACAAACTGTCATGGTATAACAATCTCAAAAGGAAAATATTTTTAAAGACATAGTATTTAGAATAAAAGATAATTAAGTGAATGTATACTCTTGTATTTTGAGTACTTTCCCTTCAAATACTCGGAGCATTTTCCCAAAACACAGTATAAACTAATATGGGGAGATTTTCTTCTACTTTCCACAATAACATATGGAAGTGGTTAAAAAAAAAAAAGAGCTATAGTTATGATTTTGCCACTCCTTTAAAGTACAAAATCTTCAGAAAGTATACTTAGACCGTGTGTACACGTACCTCTGCCGTATACTTCAATTCCTGAATGAAAAACTCCAATTCCAATGGATGAGGTGTATTCGTTCATCCAGTACTAAGAAAAAAAAAAAAAAAGATTCAGAAGACCTTTTCATTTATAACTCAACTCTACATTAGAGGAAGGGACTACTCCAAATCTTTCACTGGATATATCGGCTTTTCTAACCTCATTTCTTGGTATTTTTCCTTACAACTCAGCTTGTAAGCAATAAAATCAAAATCCTGGTCAGGTTGGAAACAGAAACTTCATCTGAAAGCTCTCCTGTTAGTGACTTCAAAAAACAAAACAAAACAAAACAAACACGTATAATGTCTACTTTCATATCTAATTTTTTTTTTTTCTATCCTAAGCTTTTCGTTTCATTCTCTGGTGAGCTCCATGAAGGCAAAGACATTTTATTATTTTTTAACATTTATGGCATGTGTCATATATCCTGATTCAGCCACAAGTTTGATAATGATAATAATGTTAGGAATAAGTAATATGAGGCACAGAAGTTAGAACAACCTTCAAACCGTTAGCATAAAGAAAAACTTCCCACAAAAGGTAATTATCTGTACCGAGTCTTTAGCAACAAATGAGATTTCCCCATATAGAAAACTGGGTCGTGGGAAGAGGGAGAGATGGGAAGAAATGCTAAGAAAGAGGATATACACAGGTAATATGAAATTACAGGGAATGCCTGTGAAAGGCGTTAAAAGGGTAGGCTGGAGGGGTTAAACCTAGAAGGTGGTAAATAAGTTAACAGTTTATTGAACAAAAACTTAGGTAACACTCAACAGTGTTACAAACCTTGTAGATTTCTCCCAGGTGAGAGGACAGATAATTTGTATTTTTCTAGGCTTATTCAAGTCTTAACCTTGGCTCCATACCTCTAGCCAGTTTCTCCCAGACCTGGGCACATTCTCATACATTGCTGGAGGAAGCATAAATAAACAAGTCAATTTTTTCTTTCTAAAATGTACCTAGAAGAAAAATTAAGCGATAATAAAAAATATTTGGAATAAAAAAACAAGGGACTTTCCCATCTGGACATCAAAATATTCATGAAAACAGTATGGTACTGTTGCAGGAACAGATTCTGGAACAGATCCTTGTATATATAAGAATTTGGTGGGTGTATGATAAAGGTAGTATTTAAAATGAATGACAAATGATGAATTATTAAAACTGTGTTGACAAAACTGATTACTCATAAAAATAAATTTCACGTCTAAAAATTCTACTGTGTCTAAAAATAATCATATATACTAGAAGAAAATCGAATAGACTTTAAAAAAATTGAGATGAGAAAAGACAATCTAAGTAGAGCAAAAACCTAGAATTTATAGAGAAAAACATCAACAGAAACTCAACTTAAAAATGTACAACTTTCTATTGTGTAAAACTACATAAACAAGATCAAAAGATAAACACCACACAGGGAGAAAAATTTGGAATTCATATAACCAAGATTTGTAGGAGAACACAAGTACCCCTCTTTATCTGAATCTTTTGGGTTCCTGATTTGGGACAGCCAGAATTTGGATGGCAAGTTAGGAAAGTGAAGGATACTTTTTTTTCTGAAATCAATTTGATTTTGGACGGAGAGTAGTGAGACTGCACATAGCAAGGGATTCCTCAAAACATTTAACCAAATCTATTTAATCCCAGAGTTTGAGCAGCAAAGTTCAGGCAGTGTGGTATACCTGTAAATAAATCTCCATTAAAAAAAATAACACGCACAGATATGTGGGTAATCACAGAAGAAATTGGTGGCCAACAAACATGAACTAATAATCTCACTAGTAAACAGAAAAATACTAATTAAAACAATGAGCTATCATTCCTTTTTGATCCACCAGATTGGCAAACATCCTTGGTGCTGGTGAGGGTGTGAGAAAGAATTTTTTTTTTTTCTATCCTAAGCTTTTCGTTTCATTCTCTGGTGAGCTCCATGAAGGCAAAGACATTTTATTATTTTTTAACATTTATGGAATGTGTCATATATCCTGATTCAGCCACAAGTTTGATAATGATAATAATGTTAGGAATAAGTATTTTTTTTTTTTTCTATCCTAAGCTTTTCGTTTCATTCTCTGGTGAGCTCCATGAAGGCAAAGACATTTTATTATTTTTTAACATTTATGGCATGTGTCATATATCCTGATTCAGCCACAAGTTTGATAATGATAATAATGTTAGGAATAAGTAATATGAGGCACAGAAGTTAGAACAACCTTCAAACCGTTAGCATAAAGAAAAACTTCCCACAAAAGGTAATTATCTGTACCGAGTCTTTAGCAACAAATGAGATATCCCCATATAGAAAACTGGGTCGTGGGAAGAGGGAGAGATGGGAAGAAATGCTAAGAAAGAGGATATACACAGGTAATATGAAATTACAGGGAATGCCTGTGAAAGGCGTTAAAAGGGTAGGCTGGAGGGGTTAAACCTAGAAGGTGGTAAATAAGTTAACAGTTTATTGAACAAAAACTTAGGTAACACTCAACAGTGTTACAAACCTTGTAGATTTCTCCCAGGTGAGAGGACAGATAATTTGTATTTTTCTAGGCTTATTCAAGTCTTAACCTTGGCTCCATACCTCTAGCCAGTTTCTCCCAGACCTGGGCACATTCTCATACATTGCTGGAGGAAGCATAAATAAACAAGTCAATTTTTTCTTTCTAAAATGTACCTAGAAGAAAAATTAAGCGATAATAAAAAATATTTGGAATAAAAAAACAAGGGACTTTCCCATCTGGACATCAAAATATTCATGAAAACAGTATGGTACTGTTGCAGGAACAGATTCTGGAACAGATCCTTGTATATATAAGAATTTGGTGGGTGTATGATAAAGATAGTATTTAAAATGAATGACAAATGATGAATTATTAAAACTGTGTTGACAAAACTGATTACTCATAAAAATAAATTTCACGTCTAAAAATTCTACTGTGTCTAAAAATAATCATATATACTAGAAGAAAATCGAATAGACTTTAAAAAAATTGAGATGAGAAAAGACAATCTAAGTAGAGCAAAAACCTAGAATTTATAGAGAAAAACATCAACAGAAACTCAACTTAAAAATGTACAACTTTCTATTGTGTAAAACTACATAAACAAGATCAAAAGATAAACACCACACAGGGAGAAAAATTTGGAATTCATATAACCAAGATTTGTAGGAGAACACAAGTACCCCTCTTTATCTGAATCTTTTGGGTTCCTGATTTGGGACAGCCAGAATTTGGATGGCAAGTTAGGAAAGTGAAGGATACTTTTTTTTCTGAAATCAATTTGATTTTGGACGGAGAGTAGTGAGACTGCACATAGCAAGGGATTCCTCAAAACATTTAACCAAATCTATTTAATCCCAGAGTTTGAGCAGCAAAGTTCAGGCAGTGTGGTATACCTGTAAATAAATCTCCATTAAAAAAAATAACACGCACAGATATGTGGGAAATCACAGAAGAAATTGGTGGCCAACAAACATGAACTAATAATCTCACTAGTAAACAGAAAAATACTAATTAAAACAATGAGCTATCATTCCTTTTTGATCCACCAGATTGGCAAACATCCTTGGTGCTGGTGAGGGTGTGAGAAAGACACTGCACAAATGTTAATCAATGACAGCCGCTTAACCATTCCACCTCCTGGAATCTGTTCTATGGAGATACTTGTACATATGCAAAGACATGCTCCAGGATATTAATTGGAGCTGTCTATAATACTGAAAAGCTGAAAACAATTTAAACAACAGCAGAAAAATGGTTAAATAAATGAAGTAACTCAATATATATGGAAATAAAAAAACCACATAAAGTAAAAAGACAAAGTTATACGATATCTGTAGCATGATCACATTTTCATAAAACAGGTAAATAAGCCCTGTGTGTATGTTTACATACTAAGTGCATAAACACAAAACTAAACCACCACCAACTGCAACAAAAGAAAAGTCTGAAGCACACAGATCAAACTGTTGACAGTTTGGGGGAGGGGAGTAGATTTGCCTAGAGTAGGAGTGTTGTATAAAGTGATACTTTAAATTTTAACTCCATACATTTCAGAATTGTTTGTTTTTCTAAATTTGATAAAGAGTGTGCATTACTTCAAAGTAACATTTTTTAGTTATAAAAGTAAAATACTATACTCAGCTTAACAGATTTTCATTTACTTGTATCTTTACATCATGGTTAAGAGAATAGGTTGCATATACATGAAACACAGACACAATGTTATTACTTGTAGCATTATTTGTGTTGGGAAAATACTAGTAACAACCTAAATGTGCATCTACAGGGCACTAGTTGAAGAAACTATGATATATCCACACAATGGAATACTATGCAGACATAAGAAGAGGGGCATGCTTTTGAGCAGCTGGTAGGCAATAATTTCCAGGACGTATTTGTTAGGGAAAGGAAAGCAAGTTGCAAAATAATATATACTTAGTACTGACAAAGATTCTTTGTTTGACCAAACTTTAGTCAGGCTCTTTTTGAACATTCTCCTAGGCCCACCGGTACACTTTCTTGTAAAATCCAGGTTTGGCAAAGAGCCCTAAGTCAGTTTAGCAAGAACTCTCCATCTTCAATATCTGATCACCTTCCATATCTGATCAGTTTCCTCACCCTCTATCACTCCCTAGGTGACATCTATAATTACCTGGCCTGTCTTCAGTAGGAATTGTGTTAGATTGGTTTAGCAGAATCCACCTTACCGCTGATGTTTCTTTTTAGTAATTTTCCATCCACCGATGCCCACCCTGGTCGGTGGCTATAAATTCCTACTAGCCCATGCTGTATTCAGAGTTAAACCCAATCTCTCTCGCCCCACTGCAAAATTCCATTGCCGTGGTCTCTATACCTATCATGATGGTCCTGAATAAAGCCTGCTTTACCATGCTTTAACAAGTATTATGGAGCAATTTTCTCTTTGACAGTAGACTATGTACAGTTGACCCTCGAACAACACAGGGGTAGGGGTGCTGACTCCCTGGGCAGTCAAAAATCCATGTATAACTTCTGACTCCCTCAAAACTTAACAACTAATAACCTACT